AAAAGATGCCAAGGGGGCACTAATGTGGTTCCCGAAAGGAGCAGAGAGGTTTCTACGGAGGGATGGGTTCCACCTCCAAGCTAAACCCACGGCAGGAGCCGGGGAGGTGCCCTCTCTGCTGATCCTCCTGGATCTCTGCCCGGTGAGGGAAGACTTGGCCCCGGCGGTGTGAATGTGCTCATTCTTCTCGAATGCAGAGCCTACAGGGCATGGCAGAGGGTGGGGTGGTGCCTGATTTGGGCCTCCAGGTTTAAGTATTCCTCTTAGCATGAAGGAGATGCTCCCTGAGGGTGGTGAGGAGGGTCAGACTGTGCTCCCCAACACCCCACCCGCCTTTACTGGCAAAGGTGGGGATGAGAAGCACTTAACTCCCAAAGTAAGAAATCAACAGGGAGAAGGCGGGGAATAAAGAGGCCTCTGATTACCTGTTTGTTTTTTTCCAAGCCAAAGACAAAGGTGGGGCTGAGCCTCTATTTCTGACTTCCTGCTGGAACACGGAGGACCTAGGCCAATTGAGAGTGCCCCATCATCAACCTCTTCTCCATCACGTAGGCAGGGCCTAGCCAGGGCCCATCTCCCTCCCCTGAACCAATGGTAGCTTTCCTGAACTTCCTGCTTCTTCTCTCTCACCTTTTCCCAGTCTCTTTCTATAGCAAGCTGGTTCTGTCATTCCCTATTTAAAGCCCTTCAGTGATTCCCTGTAGGGCTCTAGGGTTAAGCCCCGGGCTGACGGGTGGCAGGGCCACAAAGAAGTCCCAGCCTGCGGGGCAGAGCTCTCCCAGCATCATTAAGCCTGACCTTGTAGCCCTCCCTAATTCCTTCCTAAGTAGCTAATGGGCTGTGGGAGGTGTTGCCTAAGCAAGAAAGTGTTGCCTAAGCAAGAACATTTGTATAAAAGTTAATCTACTCTTATTTTAATCAGACTATAAAATAAAGGCTTGCAGGCTGGGTGTTTTGTGTCCACATCCAGGCACCGGAGATCCACTGAGCCCCAGCCGTATTCTCTTGTCTGTCTTTTCTTCAATCCTTCACGGCCCCTCCTCAGGTTTAGCCTTGGCCATGCTGACGCGGCACAGTTCCCAGAGTCACTGGGTAAGGCCCAAGCTCCTGACCATGTTCTGCAAGGCCCTGTAGAATGAATCCCACCAAGGCAAGTATTCTGTCTACTGTTCACCTGAGTGCCCATAATCTGGCACAATGAAAGCTTGCTGGAAGGATAAATTGATGCCTGTTCTGCTACTGCCAACCTTTCTGGATGCATCTGTCCATATGTTCTACATTCCCCATATGCTCTACACTCATGTGTTCATTCAACTCCCAGAGGACCTCTAGTACACTCAGGCCTGTGAGGACACCAGACATTCAGAGAAAAATCAGGTTTCACATGCTCTTCTTTGAAGGAACGTACGGAGCCATTGTGTTTCCACCAAAAGAGTATGTAACACTAAGATGAATCTCCAAAATGTGTTGAATGAAGGAAGCTAAATGCAAATACTAAACACTGTGTAACTCCATTGATAAGAAGGTCAAGAGCAGGCAAAAGTGATCTATGGGTTTTAGAAATCAGAACAGTAGTTGCCTCTGGGGAATGGGATTGATTGCAAATGGGCACAAGGTAACTTTCTGGGATTGTAGGATTGTTCCAGGTCTTTATCTGCATTAAAGGATGTGTACATTTCTTGAAGTGCTTTGATTTTATACAGTTAAATGTGTACATGTTACTGAGTGTAAGTTATACCTTATTAAAGTACTGTCAGCATAGGAAGTAATGTTCATGTGACATAACAATGACCAAAAAAATAATAAAAAAGACACACACCCTCAGTGTATGAATTAAACAGCACATTAGCCATAACCAAAGAAAGAACTGGTGAACTAGAAGAAAGAGCTGAAGAGATTATATGGATTGCATCATGGAGACAAAAAGAATAAAAGACATGGAAAAGAAGTTAAAAGACATGGAGGACAGAATGAAGAGGTCTAGCATACTTCTACTCAGAGTCCCCAAATGAGAGAATACAAAGAATGGAGGAAAAGAATAGTTGGAGAGACACTGGCTGAGAATTTTCCAAAACTGATGAAAGATGCAAATTCATAAGTACAGGAAATACAACATATTGAGAAGAACACATAGAAAAGAATCCATAACTAGATACTTTGTAATAGAACTACAAAACACCAATAATGTCCTAAAATCAGGGAGAAAAGACATCACCTACAAAGGAATGACAATTAGACGAAGCAGACTTCTTCAAAATATGCGTTGCACCTATTATATACCTACACTGGCCCAAGTACTAAGAACACACGCTGAACAAGACAGACTCAGTCCCTGCACTGTGGAGCCTACAAGTGAATCAGGAACAACAGATGTGGAGGGAGCAATGACAGTGCGATGAGCCAGCCTAGGTAGGGTGAAGAGAACTGGCAAGAAACCCATACAGATAGAACTGCGAACTGTTAAGATTTTCCCATCAATGCTGGAAGGTCCCAGGTGTTTGTCAAGATGGGGTGGGCTTTTCCTTCAGAGAGGCTCTGAGGGCAGTAGCTGCTGTGCTCACCAATCCTGCCTTGGGACAGGAGACAGAAAAGATGTCCTAAGACTGGTGGCTTCCCTAGAAGCCCCGAGGGAAAGGAAGAGAGCATTCATCACGGTCCCAGACTGTGTCCCCACAGCCACAGGCCAAGTAGCTGTGTACAGGGCCCAGGATCAGCCACACGGGGAGACGGAGGTTATGCCAGGATGGGGCGAGGAGGCACAGGGGCTGGGGGGGCGGGGTGCCCTGATGTAGGGAATGCTGCGTTGATCACCAAGACCAGGTACCAAGCTGGGGTGGGGCTGAGGAGTGACTCAGAAGCTCTGTCCATACCCCAATACACGACTTCCCGCATGAGCACCCCAAAAGGTCCTCACACTTCAGAGCTGGGAAAAGGACCATGTCTTCAGTCTTGAACTCAGTTTAGACTGGGGACTGACTTTCCGCACCACCTCTCCACCCTAACTTCATCCCCAAACACCCCGCGCCGCCAGCCTTCCCCAGGAGAGAGCCAGGAAGGTCCGTCTCTCCCTACCAGGGCCGGGGCGACTTCCGGTTCAGCCTTATCGCCCCAGCGCCGGGGCAGGTGCGCTCGGGCAGGTGCTTATTCACCTAAGGGGCGGGCCGGGTGAGAGGGGCGAAGGAATTGGCGAGAAAGGGTGTGAGGGACAGGACAAAGGAGAAAGTCTGGGGAGGGGTGAAGAGTGCTTGGGGAAGGCTGGACGGAGGCTGCGAAGGTGGGGAGAGGCGGGAGGCGAGCACAGGCGTGGGAAGGGAGGTTGCTCCGGGTCTGACCTGGTGGGGCGGGGCCCGCGGC